AGTCCTTCGAGGACGTGCACACCCAGCGCGTGATCGCCAACGTGCGGGAACGCCAGCGGACCCAGTCGCTCAACGACGCCTTCGCGGAGCTGCGGAAGATCATCCCGACGCTGCCCTCCGACAAGCTGAGCAAGATCCAGACCCTCAAGCTGGCCGCCCGCTACATAGACTTCTTGTACCAGGTCCTGCAGAGCGATGAGCTGGACCACAAGATCACCAGCTGCAACTACCTGGCCCACGAGAGGCTCAGCTACGCCTTCTCCGTCTGGAGGATGGAAGGGGCTTGGTCCATGTCCGCATCCCACTGAGCCGGGGGTATGTATCGCACCTCCGGCACGTCCCTCGCTCCCGCATCCTCCACGCATCTCCCCAGCTCGGGCCGGCGGGGGGAAGCGCCCAGCAGCCGCCCCCTCCTCACGCTCCACGTGCAAGCGATTTGCTTTAACGAAGCCCAGGCCGGCGGTCGGAGGAGGTGGCGATTCCCCACCTCGCCAGGGCCGGTAGGACCGTCGCAGGGGGCCGAGGCGGAGCCCTACAAGCGACTGATCTCGTTGGGCGGGGTCTGGTCCAGGGCAGGCTAGTGAAAGGTTTAAAACGAGGGCTTAAAAATCTGATTTATCCTCCCACGGTCACCCGGGAGGGTGCGTAAATCAGCAGGCGCCCTCCTGAACGTGCTCGGGCTGCCGAGGTGTCAAAGCCGCGTGAGCGGGACCAGCGGCAGGCCCCCAGCCATCGGCCGGCGGGCGGGAAAAAAAAGAGCCCAGCCTTGTCCTGGCCACCCGGGCGAACCTCAGCGCCGTTCCCTGGCGGCGTTGGGTGGCCCTGGGGCCTCCAGCCTACCGGGATTTCTCCTATCCCCCTCCGAAAGCGCCGCAGATAAGACGGGATCCATAATCCCTTCGGATCTGTGGGCATCCTCCACCGCAGGGACATGAGCCAGGATGGCGGGGCAGCGAGGTTTGCCCACTCCTTGCACCGCACCCCGTGCTTGATGTACTCAGCACCGCCCAGCCCCCGCCTGAGCATCACCGGCAAAGCTGCTGTTGAGGGGAATAATCCTAATTTCAGTGGTTTGGGTCTGGTTGGGCTGGGAGAAAGAGGGAACGGGAGGAGAAGGGGCAGCTCCACGCTACTGTTTCCTGCAGCCCACGAGCAGGAGCACAAAGTTCCGGAGGACATTCCCAAGCCGTGGCCTACAGGAACAGTCCACGGGAGCCCAGCCCAGCTCCCGAGAGTCCCCGTTATCCCCTGAACGGGATCAGGGCTTCTGGCTTTCCTCGGGCACGGACTCATTAAGCCCTGCCTTGGGTCGGCCCTGGCGCTGGGAGACCGCCGGGTCCTCCGGGGAAGCCAACTGCAAGAGGGGTCTTATTTTCTCTTTTTCGTGCCCCCACCACTAAGGGCTGCCCATGAAAGACCCTTTTCTGGTTATTTTCTGCCGGCAATTGGGTTCAGCCTCGTGCACCCTCCTTGCGTTGCCATCTCTCCTCCTGGCCGGCCTTACTGCAGTCCCGAGTCAGGGCAGGGACGTGGGTGCCCATGCCCAGCCCTGGGCTCCCTGCAGGCAGAAGCAACATATTTATACGAGAAAGTGTATAAAATATATCATAGATATTACTGGGGAGAGTCTGGACCCTGCGATGAGAAGTGCTGAGCGGGTGCGAGACCCTCACTTAAGCCGTGCTGCCCCCCGGCTGGGGCAGGGACCGGTGTGGTGCTGCAGCCCAAAGCGAGACCGCTGGTCCCCTCCTCACCGTGGGTGCAGCGTGGGCTCCCGGCCTTTGCCTTTAGGGTCCCGTCTGGGGTGGGGGAAGCCATAGTGCAAAAAAAATAATACCTGCTCTCCACCCTGGTCTCCTGTTTCGAAAGGCCAGAGGGAGCGGGAAAAGCAGGGAAGTGGCCTTTCTGAGACAAAATAAATCAGCAAATTCCTGCCAAGCGGCCCAAGCGCTGCCGGGGCGTTGGGGGACGCTCTGCTGTGGCCGACGACCCTCCTGTCATCGGGCTTTGCCACTTAAGAGCCCCCAGTTTCAGGCCAGATCCACAGATAAAGGTGCAGCTGCTGGCTAAAGGTGTTGACCAGCTCCCAGGGGGATTTCATTTAAGGCTGTGCCACATTTAAACTCTCGTTTTCCTGCAAGCCTTCCTAAAATCTCTTCTAACCAACAGGAAAACCTCCCATTTTCTAACCCCCTGTATAGATTTCAGTTATTTGGGGCAGACCTGTTCTTTAAAAAAACGAAAGCCTGTCCTCGCTGGCAGCAGGATTGCTGCCCCTGTGCCGTGGCTGGGTGCCCTGGGGACACCTTCCCCTTTGGGACAGCCAGAAGCGAAGCGTGTGGTGACTTGTTCTCCCTTTGAGAAGTCAAAAAGCTGCCGGGGACAGTCGGGATGCTGAGCCCCCCCTGAGCAGACCCAGCCCCTCTGCCCCCCCAGAGCCTCCCTCACCCTCTCCTGGGCATCACGGTTTTTTGCAGCCCTGGGGGTTTTGCAGTTTGCAGCCGGGTCACCCCGTTTCGGGGGATGTGGGGTGCTCCGTGCGCTCTCCCAAAAGACAGGGGGGCTGCTTTGTCCCGCTCCTGGCTTCGCAAGAGCGGTGGAAACAGCCCGGTGGGAGCTTGGGCTGCTTGGGTGGGTGGTTTATAAGAGCTTCAGCACTGTGCTGACGAGCTGTGCACTTGGTCAAAGCCCAAGTAAAGGCATCTCGGCCTTGGGGAGGTGTGGGGGGTCTTCGAGTCCCCTCCCCATCACCCCCAGACCCGGGGCCGTGGCTCTCGGCGCACGCGTGTGTGCTCCTGGTGGCGTGTGTGGGCTGCCGTGCGGCTCTGCGTCCGGCTGTTGACCTGTAGACCTGTTTATTTAAGCTGAGCACTTGGCAGGAGTTGTGTTCCCATGATAAACAGAGGAATTAAAGACCCTTAGTGATCTTAAAGACCTCTCTGCTAAATGAAAAAGCCTCCACGTAAAATCCCTCACGTCCCGTGAGCGCAGCGCGCTCAGCGTGCTTATCCTTGCTGGTTAATATTCATCCCAAGCGGCTCCGGTGCTTGCCTCGAGGCAAAGCATCCTTCAGCTGCACAGATAATAATCTGCTTCGTGCCAACCTGCAGCGGTATTCGGGTACCAATTAGCAGCTCCCAGTTGGGCAGGGAAGTAATGGGAGGAGGATTTGCTAAGCAAAGACCAGGAAAGAGGGAACAGCCCCAGGGGAAGCGATGCTGGAGTGGGAAAGGCTGCGTCTCTCTCCCGTAAGTGAATTAACCCGGCGCTTGCAATGGGGCTGTAATTTTATAATGTAAAGCAGCTAACGGCTGCTGCGAGCGCCGGCGTACTGGTCTCCACTGGAACTCAGCCTATTAAATATCAAAGGGTGCTGGAATAGCTGGATGTGGATGTGCCCTTGTTAACCAGGAGACATCATCCGGGGAAAGAGGGATTGAGCCCTCAGGCAAGAAAAATAATGTTTGAAGTCCCCCCAAGCTCACGGTTTTTCAGCACGGTCTTGAGCACATTAAAATGGTTTCTTTTCCTGCTGGAGGAGAAAATGAGGCTGGAGGCTGAAACTGCTGGGGGGGAAAGACTGGCGGAGTTGTAAGGGGTGATATTCCTTGCCCTTCATTTGTCTCCCTGGATTTATTGTCTTTCTCGCGTTGCCCTCGCTTAATTGTCTATCCTGAAAGACCTTGGATAAATCTCCCCTTTGGGGACCGTTGCTCTTGCTTGGAGTCTGCTTTGTCGGGTGGATGTTTCCTTTCTTTATTTTTTTTATTTATAAATACGTCTCCTTGCACAGTATTAAAGCACCAGGGTACGAAAGGAGCTGGGGGGGAGCTCCCTTCCCCACTCAGAGCCGCTCAGAAAACGCACTTAAAGCAGCATCTGCGCCCCAAAGCTGAGACCCCTCTGCCGACCGGCAAGAAAGCACCTCCCGTCCGGCTGAGCTGCCTTGCCACCCTGGATCGGTCCTTTAAAAGCAGTGAGGAGCGGGGCCGTTCGCTCGCTGCTGGTTAAACTGGCCGGGGTGGCCCAGGACCCCCGGGCTGGGTCAGAGCAAGCCCAGGCGCTGGGCTCCTCCGCAGCCAGCTCCAGCGGGCGAGGGGTCGCGCTGGCAGCCACCACCTCGCTTTCGCTTTTGGTTTGAGTTCCCAGAAGAGGCGAGGAGCTGCCCAGATCCTGGGAGATCTGTGCCTGGGGGATTTTTCCATTTTCCATTCGGGTCAAGGGCCATGTGGCGTACCAGCCGCGCTCCCACCCCTCTGGCTCTTCTGGGATTTGCTCCTTGCTCTGGCACAGAGCGGGTTTAGAGGCCAGGAGGTTCCTCCGAAGGCTGCTGTCTGCCCCCACAGCCGGCCCAGCATTTGCCGCGGCGTCTGCAGGGGGGGGACAGGCAGAGGAAGAGACATTTGGTGCCCTGAAGGCTCCAGCTTTAGCGCCCCGGGGCAGGACATCCCCCAGACCCCCAGGGCTGATCTCACGCCCCAGCGCCAGGTAAGGGTGCAGGACCGGACGGGGCTGGGGATGCTCAGTCCGACCACACGGCGCCGGGGAGGCCAGGGGACACCCCGACGGCTGCGCGGGAGCGCGGGGTGGCATCACCTTGCCGACCCGAGCTGCCCGGAGCCCAGCCCGGAGCAGGGAGAGCCACAGGCTGCCCGGCCGTCCCTCTCCGGGCCCCTGGGCACGACACGAGGCCATGTCAAAGGGGCAACTGGGGCTGCCGTTAACTTCACCGTCAGAAAAACCTTGTTTTCCAGAAAAAACTCCCTCCTTTCTATTAAGGACTTGACACCAAACCTGCCCGGGGAGGGCCAGGCTCCTCTCCATCGCAGGAAGGCAGGTTCTCAGCGCTGCTCAGGATTAGTTAAAATTAAAACAGAGATAAAATTACAGAGCCAGCCCTTGCGAGGAGCATTAAAATGTCTGCCGGTTTACGATCCCCGCGAGGAGACGGGCTCGCTCGATCTCAGCTGCGTTCGCTTAGCCCAGAGGAATGCCTTTGAAACGAACCCGTATTTCATTGCCGAATGTCACGGGAATGCACCTGGGATCTGAGGGGGAACGCAGGAGATGCGTTAACAAGACGGGCTTTGCATTTAATTCCTTTTTATAGGGCTGTACCTGAACAGAGACGAGGGCGTTAACGCAGCGGAGGGAGGGAAGGGCAGCCGGGGCGCCGAGGGCGGGCTCGCAGAGCCTTGCATCCCCCCCAGCTCCGTGGTCTGCCCCACACCAGCCCCGTGAACATCCATCCCCACGCTCGGAGCGGGGCTGGGCTCCTCCGGAGGCTCCCGCAGCCCTTCGGCAGCCT